CCCCCCCCCAGTGCACAAATTTTTGTGCACCGGGCCTCTAGTCTGTTATAAGAAGGGCTTTCTGCTCTTGGATCTGAGATGCCCACATTTCTCATTTTCCCTGAGCTGGCCACACAGTGACCAAGGCAGACCAGACCTGGGAGCTCAATCCAAAGACACATTCAGGAGCCACAGACAAAACCAAATTATGAAAGGGTAAGTCACCCAGGCACTAGGGCCCTGCTGAGCCGGAACCCTTCCCCCTTCCCATGAAGGGCTCCCTGCTCTATGGAGCAGGTGCAGAGACAAACTCCAGCAGGGTGTCCTTTGCCCCTGGCAGGGCAGGTGACAAGTGTAAAAGGGTGTGTCTTCTGGGGACAGTAGAGCCAACTCCTCCCAACAGGCCAAATCCTAGGGTCCCAGGGACCCTTTAGTGATGGTATTGAGCACCTCTGATGCCGAGCCTGGGGAAAGACGCCATGAGGAAAACAGAGGTCAGCCTCAGGGAGCTGAGAGGGGTTAGAAATAAAGAGTAAGTAAATGATGACTGGAACCAGAGAGGTGGCTGCAGGTTTCAGCAGGAATTGCAGAGTAGGTCCCAGAGGAGATGGCTTGGAGGAGATGAGGAAGTTCAGGGGACATCTGGGGAAGAGTGCCGGGCCCAGGGAACAGCCAGCGCAAAGGTCTGCAGGTGCCACCATGCCTGGGAGTTGGAGCATTGGGAAGAAGGACTGTGTTGGGGGTTGGAAGATGGAGGACATTATAAGAATGTGAACCTTGCTGTGAGGCGGGAGGCACAGGGGGGTTTGGAGCAGAGGAATGGAGCCTGTTTTCATAGGATCCCTCTGGCTGCTGTGAGTGAGGGCAAGGGTGGGGGTAGAGAGGCCAAGGAGGAGTCTCTCAAAGTTGTGTGTGTGTGTTGGTGTCGGGGGCAGAGCTAGAAGATGCTGAGAAATCAAGTCACCCAGGGCGCCTGGGAGGAGAAATCCGCCTCCCAACTGCTGTCCCAGCCCCTTCCACTGGACATTCCCACACCCATCAGAACCAGAGCTCGGTTTCCTGGGATTTGGGAAGCAGAGCTCTGTGCACTGAAATCAGGGCCTCCCTCCTCTCAGCTTCCATGACCCTCAGTGTTTTGTCAGGGCCTTTGTAAGCATTTGAAACTGAACTGTTTATGTGCTGAATCTTCTAGAATGGGGGGTACAGTCTGCCTGAGCCGACTTCTGGCACACAGCAGCAGCACACGACCTAATCTTAGCTCTGCCCCGCTGTGACCTCTCCGGAATGAAATTGGGGATTATAAGAGCTCATCCTCCACAGGCTGTTTGGAGAAAAAAGGGTTATTTGCATGTTGCTTAGCGCCTGGCATACAGTAAGATCCACACAGATATTTAAATAAATAACAGATGCTTGGGATATGGTGACCAGGGGACTTCCTGCTGGCACCTGGCACACCCCAAAAAGGGTCTCATCTGGGACATGGGAGAAGGGCCTGGCCTCTGCCATCCATCAGGACTGAATCCTCCATCCCTAGGTCTCTCGCCCCGCCCCCCCCCCCAGACCCCCCGTGCAGGTTTAAGGAGCAAGAACCAGATTGGGGAGCAGGGGGCGAATTTTGCCGGAGGGGCCCCTCCCCCCGCCGCGGGTAGAATTCCGGGACCATTGCCCTCACAGCCCCAGAGCAAACACTCAGCCTTTGTTTCCGGGACCCTGGGAAAGGGGAGGGGAAGAGAGGGGCCTCGGGCTGCCCCCTCCGCCAGCCTGGCCCGAAAAGCCGCCCAACAGGTTTGGTGGCGCCTCCCCGAAGCCCGCGGTGCATCCGCAGCCCGGGGCCCGGCTTTCTCTCCGTTGTCTCCCC